CTCTCCCCCTCTCCCTTCCTCCACCTTTCTCTCCCTCTCCCCCCACCCCGACTCTTTGTAAAAGGCGGCTCGCTGGCACAACCGGACATGACACATTTGGGTCTGTCTGCCACTCCTCATGAGAATGCAAGGTGTCCCTCTCGTTCTTTTTTTTTTGTTCGTTGTCTGTCTTTTTATGTGTGTGTGTATTATTATCTCCTACCCTATTACCTGTCACTCTTTTACACCCTGTCTTTATATTCTCTTCTCTTTCTCTTTCTTATTGTCGCTCATGCTCCCTCTTTCTTTCTTTCTGTTTCTCTACTCACTCTCTCTCTCTCTATTTCTATCCTAAATATATCACATGCCGTGAGTAGGGATCAAAATCTGTCTTCTGATTTCACACCTGTGGTCACTTAATCACTATGAGGTGGGCTTACTGGTTACAAATTTGATTTGGCACCTTCTTCTCAATGTTGCTAATCTAAATGTGCATTCATCCTAGCCATAACCACAAACTCATTATAGTTATATAATCGACAAAGGCGAGACTGAAAACGTCGATGATGTAAATGTCCCAAAACAAAGGCCAAGGAAACTGCCCTGTGGCTGAATACTTCTTAGAACTCCCCTTCAAAGACAGTAGGTATATATATATTTTTTATTAAGGATTGTCCTCTGCTGATTCTATGTTATATGCTCTGGCAACACCAAGACAGCATGAAAAAATAACAAATGTTCAAAGCTTTTATTTCCAGTAATGTGCGACTAAGCAAGACGTTGGTGCTACATAAGAAGACAATAACCGCTAGTGTGAACTCGAATACTACTTGTCCATTACACACAACGGTATACAAATCGAAGCATCAAAAGTGACCTGAAAGCAATTACTAACAGGTTGTTGTGGTACGTAAAAAAGTTCGCATACTTTGGACACAAAACGTCATGACAACTGACGAAGAGAGTGCTGGGGGCCTACTCTTCAGATGGGCGGAGAGAATGTTAGTATATTATAATGGCTCGCTTGGCTTGATGAAGCTGGAAGAAAGACCTTGTGCCAAACGCAATAGGTCTGCCGTGTTTTACTTCGAACTGAGAAAAGGGGCACAGGCTGATCTTTTCTGGCACCCGATTTGCACATTTTCATGTTAGAGGCAATCGAGGGCGAATGAATCGGGTCCTGTGCCCCCATGCCATCAATTTCTCAGTACAACATAGGTTCGAATAGGGGATATTCTGTTGAGGCAGAGTGGTGAAGTGTCAGATCAGATCAGAGACTGTATTTTTATGAGAAATGACAATCCAGTAAATCAGCTTTTCTTAAATATTGAGGGCTGATAGGAGGTGAGATTTCCCTTTAATATCCTTTTACCAAAACTGAAACTGAGACTCTTCGTTTGGTTTCTTACAGACGTTTCTTGCAAGGACAGCTTCAGTATCAGAAGTTTCGCACAACTAAGGGGTTGGAAGAAGTTAATTGGCAACAACCGAATCCAAGGAGGAGGCGGAGAGTAAGTGAAAAATGGCGTTTTTTTTAGCCAACTTTCTGTTAATGAATCGTAGGTGATGTGTTCTTTCAGATCTGGATCGATGTCGGAGTCGAAGCACTGAAACTCTTTGTAGAGAAGGGCAGTAACGTTCTCAGCATTGCTTATGCCATAGAAATCAGTTAGCTTTATGAAGGGTAGTTGCTGACCACCAGGAAATGTTTCATTAAGCTGGTAAGGAAGACGTCTCTGAAACGGAGCAACCTTTACTCCCAGAGTGGATCGGTCTTTCTGATTCGGGCAGAGTACCCCAAACCCAACTCGAAGTTTGGGCTATTTTGCCATCAAGGAATGTTCAGATAAAAACGATATCTATTAGTTTAATAAAAGCGCTGAACTTAGATAGGCCGTGAACTACACTTGTGGATGATATACGATATTAACTACATCAGATACACTTTCCTTTGCACGTTTCCAAATTTCCGGTCGAATCTTTCTTGATGTATATATATTTATCCCTAACCGATTTATTCCTAAGCGATTCATAAGTTTAATCATGAATAATTCATAAGACATTCTAAAACGGAAAATTATTCTGTATGCTCGGTATTGCCCAGGTTAATGCCGACATGAATGAATCTAGCAAGAAGTTATGTAGTGCAGATATCTATCATTTGAAAAAAGAAAATTGAATCTTAATGCTAGAGTAGCTGTCATAAAGTATCTCGATCTGAGTACAATGAACAGTTTGTAATTATGGAGCAAGACATATTCTAACCTGTTAGAACATGTCAAGATATTGCAAAAATTCTGAGAAGCTACAGTAGGAGTCGCCAAATCGTAACAATATTACGTTTTTTCTTGGAAAATGTGTTTGAAATTAAACAAAGTTTCAAGCACCACTTGTCCTTCGTGGTTATACGTGCTTCTTTCTATGCATATTAACATGTGTAACTTGAATGTACTCTAAAGATCCTGTCAGTAGTTGGTGCTAGCCTAAGAACTCGTAATATTGGTATTAAAAATCAATAGATAAATTAATAACTAGATTTAAGCGACCCCCCCCCCAAAAAAAAAAAAAAAAAAAAAAAAAAAAAAAAAAAAAAGTGCAAAATTGAAATTGTTTTAGTATTGACATTTGTTTGAATGGATACTCATGTACGTCAGTATTACTTCTTTATGCATTTAGCTAATTGGAATGTGTGATTTTTATTACTTCTGGGAGTTTTAGTTCATATTGTACTGTTATTCCCGTGGGTTTCAATTCATATTATATCTATATTTAGACTTGGTTTTATGTACTAGAGCCTTTTTATATAACTAAAGGTTTAGTGTATATATGTACCAATTTTATCAGATCATTGTTTTCCACGCTGTTTATACTGTTCGGTTGTGGAATACGCATTAAAGTACACAACTGTGCATGTATATAATTGTGTAGGTACTGTACTAAGTTTTGAAAAACATATTGCATAGGGAAATAAAGTACTGTGTGTCTCAAATTCCTTTCCTTAATTTTTTTACTTTCGTAATGCATTCCTTGTTGTAATTAGAATTTTGATGAAAACAGATCCAACTTATCAATAAAATTATTCAGATGTATTTGTAATATTTTTGTTAGTTTAAATTCTAATCAAGAGGCAAATAGTTGTTTTAATCATAGTCTATGAATTGTTAATATCAAGAGAAATTTACATACAGTATCAATATGAGTAGATTATAGAAAATTTTCTGCTGTGTCAACATCTAAGGTCATAAGTGGCATATACAAAATATAGCGATAGGATGGGGGGCATGGGGGTGATGCCCACAGCTAAGAAAGTTTCTTGGTTCAGTAAGGCAGTGTTTATGGATTTCCAGAATGGTCAAATGGTCAAAACAGACAAATGTACCAGGTATCAAAGGCCACACAGCCTTATGGTAAAGTAATGTGGCAAAAAGGGTGAATTTAAATTAATGATTTGGATAAGCGTACAGAAGAAAAGGATGAAAAAGAGATGGAAAAGGAACAAGGGAGAAGAATAGATCCTGCAAGATTAGACGAGGCAAGGGCAGAGGTCCAAGGTGGGGGAGATCCTACCTTGGGCCTCAGTCTCCCTCTCCTAGCCCCTCCTATAGCAACGAGCAAGGGACTTGGGTGGAATATAAGTAGAGGATTAGGATCATGTAATTTTTATTACTATTCTTATTACACTACCTATCATTATTATACCATGTTATGGCATAGAAAAAGGAGATTGTTATAATTATAATAATTTTTAGGACATCACTATCATTATCATTTCCAAATCATATCATTAATACTACCATTATGATTACATTTGTAGTTTGAAGTTTTAATTTTCTATTATAAGTGTTTAAAATCAGCATAACTTTGTGGAGAAACTACACTACATTTGATCTCACTTGAATTTTTTTTTTCTTTTAAATATAAAGCATCAAATACAATATAAGTCTCCTTACATAAGTTTACATGTGCAGTAAACATAAGGTGTGTTATGTTATCACTTATATGAGTAGATGTATGTACTTCCATACGGGTAAAATAAAATGCAAGATTCCCTAAAAAACTAAAATGTTTTTATTCAAATTCAGAAATTACAGTAAATTTTCCACACAACCATACCATCTTGTATAAATATGGAATGTATCTCTGTTACAATAAAATCATAAAAACAGCAAATGGAACCAAAACCAGAAAATAAAACAAAAAAAAAAAACAGAACATGGTCATCAAAAATAAATAAAATTATAAAAAGTCCGCAACAGCAATAATTGTTATTTTATACCTTAAAAGTGACCAACATCTATGCCCATCTTCCTACACTATGACTGTTGAACCATTTTATTTGAAAAGAAAAATAGTTCTTCACACCCCTGTTAGCTGATATCCTAAAGTCTCCAGACTGCTGAAAAACTTTAAGGCAACACATTCTATGATATTCACCTTTTTTCTTTTCTTAGAGAGCAAAACACGTGTCACTTTGGGCACGGGTAAATTACTGTTCGATACATGTGTAAAACATGTGCACAGAACCACCTAGTACACTGAAACACACACACATCCAACACATTTGAGGTTTTAACCTTCCATATAATTCTTTGAAATTACAAAAAATCTCTTCATCTTCAACAATATATACAGAAATAGGTGACAATAACGAAAGGGGCTTATTATATTATGCAATATTTTCTCGCATTACTTCTCACTGGTAACACATGCACACAATTACCAACATTTCCTACACAAATATATATGTTTTACTTTATTCCACCTAAAGCACTGGCTGGAGGGAATTGAGTGCAGAAAGCTAGCTATCTTGTGCGTAACATCAATTTCAACTAGGAACATCAAACTCATTCTCTTTGAATTACTGTATCATTTAATCATCTACCCCTGATAAATAAAATTACACACACAGGTGTATAATATACATATACATACATATATATATATATATATATATATATATATATATATATATATATATATATATATATATATATATATATATATATATATATATATTGATATGTATCTTTTATGTCCTTACATAGGCATTATTATTCAATTCATCTGAATATCCACAAAAAATAGAAATTATTAAATGTTTTACACAAAATTAAACAGACAAAATGAACATTGTAAAATAAAGGTCAAATTAATGTTACTATTAAAATCAAGCATCTCTCTCTTATATCAATTATAATTTTTTACTTATTGTCAATATAGATTATTACTTCCACAGATTTCAAATCTTTCAGATTTAACAGATCAAACAAAAAATCATATCACATGTATAAAAGCACAAAGACTGGGAGAAGGAAGAAAATAGGGCAGGGGAACAAATTAAAATAAAAAAAAAAAAAAAACAGAACATGGTCATCAAAAATAAATAAAATTATAAAAAGTCCGCAACAGCAATAATTGTTATTTTATACCTTAAAAGTGACCAACATCTATGCCCATCTTCCTACACTATGACTGTTGAACCATTTTATTTGAAAAGAAAAATAGTTCTTCACACCCCTGTTAGCTGATATCCTAAAGTCTCCAGACTGCTGAAAAACTTTAAGGCAACACATTCTATGATATTCACCTTTTTTCTTTTCTTAGAGAGCAAAACACGTGTCACTTTGGGCACGGGTAAATTACTGTTCGATACATGTGTAAAACATGTGCACAGAACCACCTAGTACACTGAAACACACACACATCCAACACATTTGAGGTTTTAACCTTCCATATAATTCTTTGAAATTACAAAAAATCTCTTCATCTTCAACAATATATACAGAAATAGGTGACAATAACGAAAGGGGCTTATTATATTATGCAATATTTTCTCGCATTACTTCTCACTGGTAACACATGCACACAATTACCAACATTTCCTACACAAATATATATGTTTTACTTTATTCCACCTAAAGCACTGGCTGGAGGGAATTGAGTGCAGAAAGCTAGCTATCTTGTGCGTAACATCAATTTCAACTAGGAACATCAAACTCATTCACTTTGAATTACTGTATCATTTAATCATCTACCCCTGATAAATAAAATTACACACACAGGTGTATAATATACATATATATATATATATATATATATATATATATATATATATATATATATATATATATATATATATATATATATATATATATATATATGTAATTCCTTCATTTTGAATGTTCAACAGTATGTTCAAAAACTTCCTTATAATAACTTGATACATGACTAAAGCATCATTTCTGTGTTTTTCTACCCCAAATATCACTAGAGCATCATCAACAATAATTAAAACTAATTTTAAATATGCTTTTAACAAACAACGATCACAACTACTCTCTTATAATACTTATGTTGTGCATTAAGAGAAATTAAACAAAATATAAATAAACTGCACTTTTTTCCACTTTTTGATATGTATCTTTTATGTCCTTACATAGGCATTATTATTCAATTCATCTGAATATCCACAAAAAATAGAAATTATTAAATGTTTTACACAAAATTAAACAGACAAAATGAACATTGTAAAATAAAGGTCAAATTAATGTTACTATTAAAATCAAGCATCTCTCTCTTATATCAATTATAAATTTTTACTTATTGTCAATATAGATTGTTACTTCCACAGATTTCAAATCTTTCAGATTTAACAGATCAAACAAAAAATCATATCACATGTATAAAAGCACAAAGACTGGGAGAAGGAAGAAAATAGGGCAGGGGAACAAATTAAAATAAAAAAAAACTAAAATTACTCTCCAACATTTCCAAAATGCACAAGCAGATTCTATGCTGCAACCACTACTGCCATTATTGCACCTTTTCTTGGCTTTCCATCAACCACTTAAAATGTCTGAGAAAATTCAATCTGCTCTCCTACTCAAGAAGGTAGTTCTATGCACCCTGAAGCTTAGGTTTCTTCTCAAAATTGAAAGAAAAAGGAAAGAAAGGAGTTGGGGGATGGCAGGAAGAGGAGAAGGAAGAGGCCTCGGAAAGGGATGGCAGGAGACTCCACATGATGCTTAGGAGGCATAGTGCTCAGGCATGACATAGGAGATATCATCCCAGGGGTGGCGGTACAGGCCCTGCTTCAGCCTCTTCTGGTCCAGGTAGTGGCCTGGAAAGAGAAAGGGAAAGGCATGAGCTGTAGTCCTAAAGATTCCTGCTGATGGACCTGACGTTACAAAAGGAGAAAAAAACTATGCAGACAAAATATGTGTGCATACATCCATCCACACAGAAAATAAAGGATACATACTACAAAAATCTAAAAAAGAAAAATCAAATTGTTTTCAATCAAAATGAAAATAACAGTGTGCTATGATTCAAATAATCTCTATTGTTGCCAGATTAGCAGCCATTGTGAATTCTTGAGATAAGGATGCAAGTACAAGTATTTACTTTATGGATACAACTATCAATAAACTAATTAATATTTTGCCAGTTATATACAGATGTGTTATACTTCAAATAAATCAAGTGCACTGTGAGTGGCATTTAATTCAGATCCCACAGAATAGCATGAAAATCACTAGTATTGCCAGTGTTCACCTCAGAAGGGTATCTACAAAACCAGCTACTGACAAATTAAAAATAAGACTAAAACAAACAAACGATAAATAACCGACTGACTCACCAATGAAGCCCATTGAGCGACCGAGAACAAAGAGCCCGTTGATGGTGCCAATGTTCACGTATTCTTCTGCCTCTTCCCTAATGGATCAAATGGAAACAAGTTAATAATGATTCTAACTAATCAACATCATTTTGCCAATGAAGATTGATAATCATATATTATATTAAATATTATATTTGTTCTAGTATCAATAGCAATAAACAAAAAAGTAAAAAAAAGAAAAAGAAAAAAAAAAGGAAGAAATCTGGAAAGCAGGAAGGAAAAAGTGAAATAGAAAAAAAGAGAATGTGAAAAGGAGAACTTAGGAGGAAGAGGAGGAGGAAGAGGAGGAGGAAGAGGAGGAGAAGGAGGAAGAGGAGGAGGAGGAGGAAGAGGAAGAGGAGGAGGAAGAGGAAGAGGAGGAGGAGGAGGAGGTGATGGAGGAGGAAGGGGAATAATAATAATAAGGGGAATAATAATAATAATAAGGGGAATAAGAAAATGAAGAAGAAGTAGAAGAAGTAGAAGTATTAGTAAATTAATAAGGATATGAGATAAAGAAGAAAAAGAAGCAAAAAGAAAATTAAGAAAAAGGGAACAGAAGAAAAAGAGAAAGAGAAAGAGAAAGAAAAAAGAAGGTAAAGGAGAACAACAGGCACAAGAAAGAGCCAACAAAGAGGCAGGCCCACTTTACCTGGTAAACAACCCGGAGTTCCGTAAGATGTCGACAAATGACACTCCAATGACGCCATCTACGTTGAGGATGAGGTTGGGCTTCTTGCTGGTGGTGATCTTCTCCACCTCAAGCGCATAGTCGAGGAGAGGCGTGCAAGGGAACTCCTGCTTTACGAAGTTCTTGATGATTTCTACGCGCTTGTCTGGGTTGTTGAGCTGAAGGGAATTTCAAATTAGTTAGGTGAATGGGTGAAAAGTCCAAGATTTTTTTTTTTTCATTTACCCTTTCTGCTGAACTTGAAGAGTAATTGCGAAAGGCAGCAGTAAATGGGTTAAAAGTGAACAATGAAATATTAGCAATAAAACTTTGGAATATTAAATATCAAAATGTTGTCAAGTATGGAGTGTAAACATTGCCTTTCTTTAGATTAAAAATTATGATGGTTTAGCTAGCAATATCCACACTCACATGAATTTTGGGGAAAACAGTACCCAAGCCTTTAAATAATTTAACACATCCTGATCTTCACATTAAATATCATGTCATTACTATTAATCCCAATAACACTTCACCAACATCTGAATATTTCCATCTGTGATAAAATAGCAAAAGAATACTTACTGACTTCACCCTGTGTCCAATACCCATGATAAGCTGCCCCTTCTTACGCATGTCATTCACAAACTCCATTGGCAAAAGACCCTTGTCAAAGGCCTCACTAAACTGCCTGGCAGCACCATCAAGAGCACCTCCAAATCGATCACCCTAGAACAATAAGAGATGTAGATAGGAAACAATTTTTTTTTATGGTATGTTGATCTCTGCTCTCCCCAACTAAGATTTCATTATTTCTTTGCTCTTAACTTAAATCACACTAAACCCTCTGAATTAGGAAGAAGGTAAAGATGTGGACTTTTGTGTTTACACAGCAGATTAATATTCTTTACTCTTTCAGTTATTTAACCCATTCACAAGATGACTTCTAAACACATCATGGTGAAAACTTCACTGACACTGGAAGACATCTAGTAGCCAAAATGACATCTTGGGAGCCTAGCCGTGAGCTAAACAATGGCCCAAGTATAGAGCAGAACATGTTAGCGTACCCTGGCCTTGCCAAACTTTAGATGGATATTTACCAGTTGTGAATGGGTTAACACTAACTTTTAACTTTGCTTTTTTTTTTTTAAATTCACATTTCCTTCTACTTCATCTTCCTCCAAGCTTTCTAAATATCTAACCAAACTTGTTTTCTATTGACAAATGTTATGAAATCACACATCAGTTTTACCAATATTTTCCTGAAACTAAAATAAACTCACAATGGTTAACAACCCAGACACAAGGGATGACACAAGATCCTTCCCAGCCCTGGTGCAGACAATGGTGTTGTGAGCGCCTGACACAGCAGGTCCGTGGTCAGCTGTAACCATCAAGCACATCTCCAGGAAGGTTGTGGCATAAGGAGGTAGACGGCGCTGGAACCAGAGGAGGGACAGGGTGCCACCAATGCCCAGACCTGTTGGAGAGAGGGAATGGATGGCCATTTAAAAGCAAAACCATTTAAAAATTAATCTAAAAACTTGAAATCAAACAAAAGTAATCCCAAGTTTATAATTAAAACACCTAATCCACTAAGAAAAACTGTTGTATTTGCTCACCTTGCTCCAAGACAGCAGAAATGGGCATGCCAGCATAGAGAAGTTCCTGGCCTCGCTCGTCACTAATGGAAGTCATGAAGGAAGCTGGTTTGCGGATGAGGCCAAGTTCCTACCAAAGGGAGAGAGACATGTTAATGACTCATAAAACTGGCCTGACATAATACTTGTTTTATATACTGTATGAAGATGGGCATGTGACTTTCTTTATTCTTGGTAGACACACCAACACAAAAGGTACAAACAAAGTACAAAGATGGAAGATATTTTTTCCATCCTCTAACAAAGTAACAACGTCATATAAACCTATATCTTTTCAGAAACAATGAGATAATGAATGTACTTTCCATTATTACTCAAGTTAATATCCGTGTTCTGAGTACAAAAGAAAAAAACAGGGTCTTACCCTGGCCCAGTTGTAGTCCATTGGCACAGTGGGGGGTGGGACCTCCTCTTTAGGCACAATGATTCCTTCTTCTAGCAGACTCCTGTACACAAGGTGGACCATCTGCAGCAACAGGAGGAAGATTTGAGAAAAGGGAGGGTGGGAAGTAAATGAAAAAGTACACAAATGTATATTGGAAATATTTGCTGAATCACCTATTCCTTAATTTTATCATTTCCCCATGTGTGAAAATTTAACATGGAGCTCCCAAGAGGGTCTTCTTCCAGCTACTCACCTCACCCAGCTCATCAAAACTGGCAGGAACTTTGGCACCACTATCAGCCAGAGCCTTGTTCTTGGCCACGGCAGTTTCTCGTTCAGCATTTGCGCAAGCTCCTGCATGGCCGAACTGCACCTCAGAGGAGAACATACCTGGAAGAAAAATAGAAAATGTCATATAAAATTATAGTAGTCCATGTTATTTCTTCTTGGCTATCAGGCCTTCTCTGTAAAACACTAAATAAATATATGACAAACCAATGTACAGCACATCAAGACAACCCCAAACTAAAGCATACACACCAGCACACGTTCCGATACACCAAGCAACAATGGGCTTGGTGATGCGCTTATTCTGTAAAGCTTGGCAGACTTCATACTCCTCCACACCTCCTACCTCACCCAGTAGCACCAGCATCTTGACCTGGGAAAAATGAAGCATGTAATGAAGAGAAAAGAACTAATGAGCCAGGGAGCATGGAAGTGACAAAATTAGGAAATGAATGGATTTGAAAATGAGGATAAGAATAAAGAAATGCTGAATTTAATGACAGTGATACAACAAAGTACCTGTATACCATTTATCAAAGAGAAAGGAATATTTCAAGCAACTTAATTTTTCAAGTTAAAAAAGATGCACAGGCACCAATACCACTTGAGAATGTAATCAAGTCCTTAGTTGTCATCCCTCAAATGAAACCCTATACATAGTATTTAATTTTTCCTGTAAGTACCTCTGGGTTATCATGGTAGCGTAGGAGATGATCCATGAATGTGGTTCCTGGGTATCGGTCTCCACCAATGGCAACTCCCTCGTAAACACCATCAGTATTATGCGAGATAATATTGTTCAGCTCATTGGACATGCCACCAGAACGTGACACGTAGGCAACACTACAGAAAGAGTGGGGTAGGTTGGTTAGAGTCTTGGCCTTAAAGATTTAAATTTTTTCCTTTTCAAAATAGTCAAGGAAGAATATCAAATACAATAAGGAAAGGGAAACATGGATAAAAGGAAAAATTGCTCATAATTTCATTGTCAACAAAAAAGTGAACAATAAACAGCAGCAACAAGAGATAAACACACACCAAAAATAAAGAACATTTATAAAAATACTTGTAATATAAAGCAGAAACAAAACTTTACACACCTGCCGGGACGATAAAGCTTAGAGTGCAAGATGTTGTCCATCATGCCACCAGTGTTGCCAATCTTAAAGCAGCCAGGCTTGATTCCACCCACTGTGGCTGGGCCGATGATAGACACTCCCTTCTCATTCGCACGTTTGATCAAGATACGAGTCAGGTTTTCAGGAATACCCTCAGCAATGATGGCAATAGTGCGGATCTAGAGAAGGTTGGGAAGGAATGTTAGGAATGTCTCATGCTCTTGCTCTTGCTCTTACTCCCACTTTCTTGCTCTCATGCTCTTGCTCTTGCTCTTACTCCCACTTTCTTGCTCTCATGCTCTTGCTCTTGCTCTTACTCCCACTTTCTTGCTCTCATGCTCTTGCTCTTGCTCTTACTCCCACTTTCTTGCTCTCATGCTCTTGCTCTTGCTCTTACTCCCACTTTCTTGCTCTCATGCTCTTGCTCTTGCTCTTACTCCCACTTTCTTGCTCTCATGCTCTTGCTCTTGCTCTTACTCCCACTTTCTTGCTCTCATGCTCTTGCTCTTGCTCTTACTTCCTCTTCCTTTCTCTCATGATCTCACTCTTTCTTCCACTTTATATTTTCACTCTCTTGCTCTTGCTCTTACTCCCACTTTCTTGCTCTCATGCTCTTGCTCTTGCTCTTACTCCCACTTTCTTGCTCTCATGCTCTTGCTCTTGCTCTTACTTCCTCTTCCTTTCTCTCATGATCTCACTCTTTCTTCCACTTTATATTTTCACTCTCTTGCTCTTGCTCTTACTCCCACTTTCTTGCTCTCATGCTCTTGCTCTTGCTCTTACTCCCACTTTCTTGCTCTCATGCTCTTGCTCTTGCTCTTACTCCCACTTTCTTGCTCTCATGCTCTTGCTCTTGCTCTTACTCCCACTTTCTTGCTCTCATGCTCTTGCTCTTGCTCTTACTCCCACTTTCTTGCTCTCATGCTCTTGCTCTTGCTCTTACTCCCACTTTCTTGCTCTCATGCTCTTGCTCTTGCTCTTACTCCCACTTTCTTGCTCTCATGCTCTTGCTCTTGCTCTTACTCCCACTTTCTTGCTCTCATGCTCTTGCTCTTGCTCTTACTTCCTCTTCCTTTCTCTCATGATCTCACTCTTTCTTCCACTTTATATTTTCACTCTCTTGCTCTTGCTCTTACTCCCACTTTCTTGCTCTCATGCTCTTGCTCTTGCTCTTACTCCCACTTTCTTGCTCTCATGCTCTTGCTCTTGCTCTTACTCCCACTTTCTTGCTCTCATGCTCTTGCTCTTGCTCTTACTCCCACTTTCTTGCTCTCATGCTCTTGCTCTTGCTCTTACTCCCACTTTCTTGCTCTCATGCTCTTGCTCTTGCTCTTACTCCCACTTTCTTGCTCTCATGCTCTTGCTCTTGCTCTTACTCCCACTTTCTTGCTCTCATGCTCTTGCTCTTGCTCTTACTCCCACTTTCTTGCTCTCATGCTCTTGCTCTTGCTCTTACTCCCACTTTCTTGCTCTCATGCTCTTGCTCTTGCTCTTACTCCCACTTTCTTGCTCTCATGCTCTTGCTCTTGCTCTTACTCCCACTTTCTTGCTCTCATGCTCTTGCTCTTGCTCTTACTCCCACTTTCTTGCTCTCATGCTCTTGCTCTTGCTCTTACTCCCACTTTCTTGCTCTCATGCTCTTGCTCTTGCTCTTACTCCCACTTTCTTGCTCTCATGCTCTTGCTCTTGCTCTTACTCCCACTTTCTTGCTCTCATGCTCTTGCTCTTGCTCTTACTCCCACTTTCTTGCTCTCATGCTCTTGCTCTTGCTCTTACTCCCACTTTCTTGCTCTCATGCTCTTGCTCTTGCTCTTACTCCCACTTTCTTGCTCTCATGCTCTTGCTCTTGCTCTTACTCCCACTTTCTTGCTCTCATGCTCTTGCTCTTGCTCTTACTCCCACTTTCTTGCTCTCATGCTCTTGCTCTTGCTCTTACTTCCTCTTCCTTTCTCTCATGATCTCACTCTTTCTTCCACTTTATATTTTCACTCTCTTGCTCTTGCTCTTACTCCCACTTTCTTGCTCTCATGCTCTTGCTCTTGCTCTTACTCCCACTTTCTTGCTCTCATGCTCTTGCTCTTGCTCTTACTCCCACTTTCTTGCTCTCATGCTCTTGCTCTTGCTCTTACTCCCACTTTCTTGCTCTCATGCTCTTGCTCTTGCTCTTACTCCCACTTTCTTGCTCTCATGCTCTTGCTCTTGCTCTTACTCCCACTTTCTTGCTCTCATGCTCTTGCTCTTGCTCTTACTCCCACTTTCTTGCTCTCATGCTCTTGCTCTTGCTCTTACTCCCACTTTCTTGCTCTCATGCTCTTGCTCTTGCTCTTACTCCCACTTTCTTGCTCTCATGCTCTTGCTCTTGCTCTTACTCCCACTTTCTTGCTCTCATGCTCTTGCTCTTGCTCTTACTCCCACTTTCTTGCTCTCATGCTCTTGCTCTTGCTCTTACTTCCTCTTCCTTTCTCTCATGATCTCACTCTTTCTTCCACTTTATATTTTCACTCTCTTGCTCTTGCTCTTACTCCCACTTTCTTGCTCTCATGCTCTTGCTCTTGCTCTTACTCCCACTTTCTTGCTCTCATGCTCTTGCTCTTGCTCTTACTCCCACTTTCTTGCTCTCATGCTCTTGCTCTTGCTCTTACTCCCACTTTCTTGCTCTCATGCTCTTGCTCTTGCTCTTACTCCCACTTTCTTGCTCTCATGCTCTTGCTCTTGCTCTTACTCCCACTTTCTTGCTCTCATGCTCTTGCTCTTGCTCTTACTCCCACTTTCTTGCTCTCATGCTCTTGCTCTTGCTCTTACTCCCACTTTCTTGCTCTCATGCTCTTGCTCTTGCTCTTACTCCCACTTTCTTGCTCTCATGCTCTTGCTCTTGCTCTTACTCCCACTTTCTTGCTCTCATGCTCTTGCTCTTGCTCTTACTCCCACTTTCTTGCTCTCATGCTCTTGCTCTTGCTCTTACTCCCACTTTCTTGCTCTCATGCTCTTGCTCTTGCTCTTACTTCCTCTTCCTTTCTCTCATGATCTCACTCTTTCTTCCACTTTATATTTTCACTCTCTTGCTCTTGCTCCCACTCTCACTCTTATTCACTTCCTCCTTCCTTTCCTCATTCTGTGTACATCCTTTTCATTGTCGTCTCTTCCCACACCCTCCTAGCACCCAACCTGGAATGAGGATCTCCTTGTGGCCCCAGTAGAACTTCTGCTTGTGGTCTCCTGTGAAGGGGTAAACCATGGCCGACACTGAGGGTTCCGACCTCGAGCAGACAAAGTCGAAGTCCAGCATGCCCTGCAACAAGGGGAAAATTAAGACTGTTGAAAAATGGATAAAAGTGAAGGAAAAATGTACGTAAAACAAAGCAAAGTATAGAATGATATACCAAGGTATAATATAAATAAATGTAAACAGAGAGAGAGAGAGGAGGGAGGAGAGAGAGAAGGAGAGTGTAAAGGCTCTATATTGATGCCTTAAACATCGGTGAACAGGAGTAGTAATAGGGGACAATGGCTTGACTCTCTTATTTTCCAAGAGTACAACACACAGAGATATGAATACACACAAGTGATCATGGATTAAGGCACGGGTCAGGAGGGAGAGAAAGAGAGAGAGAAAGAGAGAGAGAGAGAGAGAGAGAGAGAGAGAGAGAGAGAGAGAGAGAGAGAGAGAGAGAGAGAGAGAGAGAGAGAGAGAGAGAAGAGAGAGAGAAAGAGAGAGAGAAAGAGAGAGAGAGAGAGAGAGAGAGAGAGAGAGAGAGAGAGAGAGAGAGAGAGAGAGAGAGAGAGAGAGAGAGAGAGAGAGAGAGAGAGAGATACAAACAAACGCTGCATACCTGAACGGCCCTTGTCTGCATGCCCCAGATGATGGCTTTTGTATCCTTGTGGAACAGTTGCTTTAAGTCTTTCTGGGCAGGCTTCACTGCAGGCTCTGGCTCGGAAGTACTGGCCTTTCGTGCTGGACGAGGCGATTGCTGTGGGGGTTTGTGTTAATGTTGAAAAAAAATAAAGACACAAAAGAGATATCGGAGCTGCCTTTATTGCTTCCTTTGATCTATTTTTGAATGCACTGTCAATGATTTCCATGACTTAGTATTTTAATAGTTCAAATCACAAAGGAAAAAAATATATATATACATATAAAAAATATAAACTGTACATTAACATCTACTGTATGTATATTCATCTTTCACTAACCAAGGTTAAGATTATAATACAATATCCTTTCCATATGGAGAAGAGACATACAAATTAATCAACAATAGTCACAACACAGACAGAGGGAAAGAAAAAGGAAGAAAGAAGAGTTTTAAATCATCATAATCACAATATATATAAAAGAAAAAAAAAAGAAAAAAAAAAAAATCCTCCCAAAAAGATCATAGGATTTAAATCTTTAGAAGAGAGACTTGCTTGTTTCTCACCACGCTTACATCACTTGCATCTTGAGCCTTCATAACCTAAACAAAACAAAACAAAAAATAACAAATGTTAATACAGCTCGTTCTCGGCAATTTACTACAGCACTCAAGAAATTAGTTTCCATACAGTCAGTGAAGTACAACAGTACAACACTTTTACTGTACTAAAAATATGTTAGTAGGATTCATTAGTTGATTAATGTAAAAAAAAACAGGAGTCAGGGGACTATCACATATTCTGTTCAAATGAGAAACTAAAATCTTTGGTTACATGTATCACACTATGTACAATCCCCTCTACATAAGAATTACTGCACTGCCTGCATTTGATTATCTGATACTGAATAATAACTGCTATAGAAATTAGAATTTACTCTTACAACACTACATGCTCCTGGCAGATTACAGATTTGCTCTAAAAATATATACTATGATAATGTAACCTTTACCTTATCAATAATATTAGTGAAGAAAAATAATTCCACAAGGCAAGAGATATAATTAACATAATTTTACATCTGCTGATGTAGAATCAAAATGTTAATTATTCATTCTCATTCAGACCTTTTATATATTTATCATATTGGACTCTGTTCTCTAGAAAAGATTTTGCTAGTGTTATAAAATCTCTTGTATCATTTAGTGACTGCATATACTTTGCAATTGAGACTCGATATAATATCCGAGGCATTACTCTATTTGAACATAAAAAGTAACAATTCAAAGGAAATATTAAACTAAATTTCATGGCAAAACAGATTCAAACTATGTATAAGTATTTATAATATATACATTGCTATGTGTTAAAAATGTGTACCAAACTTAAAGCCCCAAAGAGAATTTACAATGAACTGCACAATCTGATGACTTTCCCTTTCACCTTTTTCCCATTGTCAAAAAAGCATCATATTTACAATATGGCACTTACATACAACATTTTAGTGTATAGTGTAAATATCTGAGTAAGTGTGAGTAAAAACCACAAGCCACGGAGTAAGGCAAGCCGAGTACTCTACTTATGCCTGATACAAATCTCTCAAAGTTAAAACACACAGGGTTGTATTACGCATCTAGTGAGAGTTAGGATGCGAGTTAACAAAATACACGCAAGGAGTCTTGGCCACTACAATTCAAGAAAGTGTGTACCCTTTTTTTTGAGAGAGAAGGAAACATATCCTTCAGGTATGAAATTTCTGATGGGGGGCCCTATGAACGGAGAGAGAGCATAAGTAGTGTGAATAAGAACCTCTGAAATGGTGGTCTTTTTTCTTGTTCAATGTGATGTTGTATAATTTCCCTTGACAAACTAGTATAAAACAGAAAAAAATATATAATAGTGACATTATCCACCATAACCATCCAATGAAAACACCAGAAATAAAAGAAGAGATCCCAAGTTTTGACTTACCGCAGCATTCTGTCCTCCTGGAAGCAGGAAGTTGGCTGTGTGACTCTCCCCTGTTGGCTCAGTGGGGATCTGCCTCTTGCCAAGAGCCATGGACACAATGGCAGTCATGTGTGTCTCATTACCAAAGACGTGGACAGGGATGCCCAGGGTCTTGCCCACTTCTCTCATAATGCTGTGATGATAAAATGCTTTATATAGCTTTGATCAACTTGGGGGGGGTAAAGAGTGATATAGCTATATTATAATAAAATCTATTTCAACTTTAAAGAAAAAATCTAGCTTTTATGGTATACATGAATGCATGAAAAAATCAGTTTACTAAATCACAAAAGAACCCAATTTTTCAACAACCAGAAGTTATTGTATTGGGGGGAGGGGGGGGGGACTTTTGCATTATTCCCACCAATAAACAAATACAGAATGCAATGTCTGTGTGCCATGACTGATAGAGTGCTGGCTCCAGGTAGAACACTATTTCCATGTTCAAGATCATATTCCTGGCTGCTGTGACCAGCAGTGCAGGTTGTATTACAGAAAACTGAATGTTATGAAAAAGAATTAAGACAAATAACAAAATGATACTTATTGTTATTATCACTATGCTGAGTTTGATATGGAGTCTGTGCAAGGAAAGAAGTATTACCATCTCAATAAAGCAAATCAAATGACAAATACAGACATTGGGCAATGGCAAAAAAGTTAAAAATGCTTATGCAGAAAAAGAGAAAATAACATTGCAAGGGGGAGGCATAGAGTTTCGTCACCGCACACGAACATTCAAGCGCGCCCAGTCTATAAGCCGCACATCCATCAGCATGGATGCTCAAGTAAACCTAATGTCCATATTTTGGGTGACATGATGGCAGTGAAGCATCTAGATCTAAAAAATTTGAGCATAACATAGCTAATCCTGCTACAACTACATACCGGAGACCCTCTTGATAGTTTGGTCCAGCTCTTCGCACAAATATGCTAACTTTCCCCTCAATGAGCTTGGCCTGATACTGCTGCAAGGCACGCACAATGCCCTTAAACGTAGCTGCCACATTTGTGAAGTTAGCAATGCCACCTCCAATGATCAAGATCTGTTGGCAAGATGAAAAATGTGAAAACCAAACTTACCTAAATATGAACATTTCTTTAAAAATCATATCAGGAATATTTTGAATATAAAACAACCAAGACACTGTCTATAAAACAGTCCAGTTATCCAGAAATTATAAGCTTTCATACCTTGCCATCAGGGTGGTTCTCCTTTGTCATGAGAGTCAAGATAGTCTTCGCATACTCGTACGTCTGCTGCTCTGAGGGGGCTCCGGAGTACTCTCCATAGTTGGCCAGCTCTGGGGCTCCACCAAGCTCGCATATGGTGTCTGCATAAATGACAGAAGCACCACCACCTGCCACCATTGTCCAAATGCGACCCTTTTCATTCAGAATTGTGAGCTGAAGAAATGGGAATAGAGGTCAGAAATGGAACACAAATTCAATTATGAAACTGACTGCCTATAAGTTGAAGGTATTACAGTATATCAAAGATTCTGAATATGTAGTTTTTCATTACGTAAAACATATGATTCTAAGCTACCAAAAATAAAATTGAGATATTAATAGTATGCAGAAAAATTTAAAATATATTACTTTATTCAAGACTCAATATAAATATCCTGCAGTGGAAACCAGAAGTAATAATGACTGTTTATTCTAACCAATTACATACAAATCCATGCAAAATAAATACTTTTAAATATGCATCCCAACATAACCCAGTATACGAAAAAGATGAAACTTCAGTAAATAAAAAACCAGGCACTTAAGCCACCACCCCTGTCTGCACCTTAAGAGACGAGCCACTCTTCGCATCCAGATCAGCAATGAAAGCTTCCTCGGGCAGTGCGTCCCGGCCGAAGGGAGGAGGGTAGTCCACATCCCCCCACTTGGTCTTGCACATGAACTCGGCTGTTGCATCAAGCTTGGCTGCCAAGTCTAGGATGTAGACATTGTCTGACGTAATCACTAGTGGGTTGATTTCCAGGTATGTGAAGCACAGTTCAACATAGAGATCGTACAGGGCTTTGATGAAGGCAGCTGCTTTTCTGCAAGGAAGATGTTAGTGTATGAGCAAATTGATACAAGTGTCTGGTATCTACTATTAATAACTCTTTGAAGGAGTGGTAAAACACATGCCATGTCCACTCTGTTTTTGTTTACTAATTCTGTTTACACATAGATAGCCTCACAAGAGTTTAGTCACCAAGGAGTCATTTACTAGTTCTCCCTGACTAGTGGAGCCATTTGTGTGTGAAAAAATTTAATAAACAAAACTACATTGGACTGCAATTACCCAGCACCAATCTGGTTATACAAAGGTATAACATACTGCTATAACTCTTGACACTCAGGAACATTAAGAACACAAAGGAAAACAATAACTGAAGTATATAACATAATTTAAAAAATCAACACATCAAATAAGTCAAACGATCCCTTACCCTCACCTGCCACTCCCTAATAACAACCTCCAAAAGACAAAGAAAAAATTCCACTCACTCCTTCCTGGGTCCACTCTCCACATGCACCAAGAGCTTCTCCTTGACCTGCTCCACCGAGAGCTGGTCTTCAATCTGAAGGTCGAGCTTCAGAGCCTTCGCATCCACGTCTCCTATGTCCACTCCGCCCTCGTGTGTGAAGAGAATGGTATCGCCTCCACGGTGGGAATAGATGCACACGTACGCCTCCTCCTTCTGCTCGTGGGGCAGGAATGGCTCGATGATGAAGGTCCGTAGCTTGCCCACTGCCTTGCCCACCTGCAGAGAGAGGGGAGGCCACATTAGTAAGGTCGCTCCGGAAATTGGAAATGGAAGATTACAAAAATAAAACCAGTATGGTTAAGCAAAAGAAGGATTTACCATCATGCACAGAAAATAATACTGCTCTGTAAGTCTGATCAACAGCCTTCATCTTTTGTTTTAAGAAGATAAGAAAGGCAAAAATAATATTACAGGTAACAGGTGGTACTCCAATCCTCTTCTCAAGAACAAGTTTTAAAGAGAATAATGGCTGAAAGGTTGATAGAGCAAGATCAAAATTTTCATAACAGAAAAACTCAAGGTCTGAACTTGTAACAATAACACTAGAATATAGAAATAACAAATACAAGGTAATGGTTACAGTATAAAAATGGTTAAATAATAATAAATAAAAACAGTAATATTTATGTAAAAAAAATAAATAAATAAAAATAAAAGAAATAATAAAAGGCGGGTACAGAATTTGACAAATTATATCAAATACACTTTCTCAATGATCATAACAATGATAGCTATCTATTAATAATGATTTCTATATTTAACATTATTAATATTAACATCACTAATACTATCATCATTATCCTTATTAACAATACTAATACTAATATTATCCACATTAATAATACTAATACTAATACCAATGGCAATGATAATACTAATAACAATAATAACAACAGCAACAACAACAACAACAGCATGGGAGCATGGTCTTCGAAATGGTTCTACTTTACAGTTCATGAATAGCCTATTTCATCATCACCATGACAACAACATTAAAAACACTGACAACCGAAACAGCAGCCAACCCCCATGATCACGACTACCTTCCCCTCCCTCCCTCCCTCCCCTCCATTCCCTTCCCTTCCCTTCTTTCCCTCCCTCCCTCCCTCCCTCCCTCTCCCTCCCTCCCTCTCTTCCTTCCCTTCCCTTCTCTCCCTCCCCTCCCCTCCCTTCCCTTCCCTCCCCTCACCTTCTCTCCCTCCCTCCCCTTCCCTCTGCACCCTTCCTTCCCTTCCATACCCTCCCTATTCCCTTTCCTCCCCCCCACCCCACTATCTCAAAAAAGGCCATGAAACCTCATGGCAGCGGACATGCGCCCTCGCCCCCTAACACCAGCCTATATATAAATGGCAAATCAATGTCCGTTTCTCTTTCCATCCTCCCCCCTCCCCCTCCCCTCCCCTTCCTCTTCCCCTTCCCCTCCCCCCCACGCTACGGTCAAATGCCAAGTGGAAAGATATCACAGTGTATCACGGTTCTCGGTTCTGGGTGTCAAATGGGGGGGGGGGGGGGAGGTCTAGTTATAACAACAACAATGGAAGTGACATTAACCATGCTAAGAGATGATGATGATAATGATGATGCTCATGATAGTGATGACAATGACAGTGATAATGACAATCATAATGATGATAATGATATAATAATAACAACAACCACAATAATAACAAAAATAATGACAACAATAATAATAACAAAAATAATGACAACAATAATAATAACAAAAATAATGACAACAATAATAATAACAATAATCATCATCATCATCATCATCATCATCATCATCATAAACCGATATGTTGACATTCGTAACTTTAAATAATAATATTATAATCATTACGCGTTATCAAAGTAGAACAAAATATTTACAAACATAAAACTACTTAAACTAACAAAAACAACGAAAACAACAACAACAAAAATAAACAATACCCAATGTAAACAGTAATAAAGGAGAAACGAAGACAACGATGAAGAAGAATAAGTAGAATAAGGAGAATAAAGAAAGAGAAAAAGACAAGAAAAGAAGAAAAGAAAAGAGAAGAAAAGAAAAGAGAAAAAAAAGATAGAAGAAATAAAAAAGAAGAAATAAAGAAGAAGAAAAAAAAGAATATCCGGGTCCATACTCGACAAAAAGTGCAGACGAGTCTAGCAAAAATCGCCATGACTTGCGTTTGATTTTCTTTTTTTTTTCCCATCAATGCGTTTTCTTTTTTATTTCCTGTTATTTCTGTACACCGGCCACGCTTCAGGTCAATTTCTAGAAGATTCTCGGTGTTCTCTGGCGAAGAGGGGAGGGGGAGAGAGAGGGGAGAGAGGGGGAGAGGGGGAAAAGAGGGGGGAGAGGAGAAGAAGGAAGAGATAAGGGGGGGTGGGAGGAGAAGGAGAAGGATGAGGATGAGGAAGAGGGAAGGAGGAGGAGGAAGGGAGAGGAAGAAGGAGCAGGAGGAGGAGGGAACAGAAAATGGGGGAATAAGAGGAGGAGGAGGAGGAGGAGGAGGAGGAGGAGGAGGAGGAGGAGGGAGGGGGAGGAGGGGGAGGGAGGGGGAGGAGGGGGAGGACGAGAAGAGGGGGAAGGAGGAGGAGGAGGAAGAAAAGGGGCGGAGAAACAAGGTAGGAGAGAGGAGGGAGAAGCAGTAGTAGTAGTAGTAGTGGAGAAAGAGGGGGGAGGAGACACTTAAAAGAAGAAGAGAAAGAAAGAGATTACAGAAAGGGGGGAGAGACGGAGAAAGAAATGACAAAAAATGGCGCCAAACGCAAGGGTCACGTGACGCAGGTGTGCAGACGTCAGACTCCTGGCGTCATCCACTTCCCTGATAATTCCTCATTTTATTTCGCAATCAATCAAGCAGATCTTTGCAAGCCTAGTCAAAAGCAACCCCGAAGGCCGTTTTGAGCGAAAGATACCATTTTCCCTTTTTTGGGGGGGTCGGGGGGCAATCTACCTCCCCTTGCTTACATATCATCATCATTATCCTTATCCACTTTTCGTTATCACTTTCTCTATTCACCCATCTTTCACTAAATTCGCGTTATGCATACATTCACGCGCGTCTCGTTCAAAATCGCATTGATACAATTTGAAAAGGAAAAAACAAAAAAAACAAAAACAAAAATAAAACATGAAAAAATATGAATAGAATGAAAAGGAAGACCAAGATAAAAGATAAAGAGATAAAAGACGAGAGCGAAACCGAAAGAAAGCCAGAATGGGGAAGAAAGGAAGAGTGACGTTTAGCAATCAATAGGAAACGTGGGTCGTCGAGTCTTGCTCACGCCTACACCCACACACTCAGAGGGAAGGGGGGGGGGATAGGATAGGGGGGTAGAGGAGGAGAGGGAGAGGGGAGGGGGAGGGAGAGGGAGAGGGGAGGGAGAGGGAGGGGGAGAGAGAGAGAGAGAGAGAGACGGCATACGAGAGAGAGAGAGCGCATGTGATCGAACCATAGAAACAAACAAGAGAGAGAGAAACAGAATAAAACGAGTTAAACAACAACAGCCACCAACGGGCCCACAACAGAAGCACAACAAGACCTCCAATCACCCCCCCCCCCCCAAGAGTCCTGGAACGGGCGCGAACCCAGCCGCCTTCCTCCGCGCGAAGCAATGGGCGTGGAGGCGGCAGGTAGGAGAGAGAGAGCGAGCGGGAGAGCGCGGCGCGGACTCGAGGGCGTGGCGGGCTGAGGGGACAGGCTGTGGGGCGGGGTCCTTGGGGGCGTGGCAAGGGTGGGAGGGGGGGGGGGGCTCTCACAATCAATACTCCCACGTACAAGGTGATGTGAAGGTGAAATCGGAATTCCACTCAGCCCTCTGCCTATGGGAAGGGAATGAGGAAGGGACGCAAGGAGGAGGAGAAGAGAAGAGAGACTGAAAGAGAAAAGGAGCAGAGACCGAAAGAGAAAAGGAGAAGAGGAGGAGCGAGGAAATGAGAAGAGACGGAAGGAGAAAAGGAGAAGAGACGGAATAGACGGAAGGAAGAAAAGAGAGACGGAAGGAGAAAGGAAGAGGAAGAAGGAGAAAAGAATCGGATGGAGAAGAGAATGGAAAAGGGGAAGAAAGGATGGTTGGAATAACTAGAAGAAGAGGAGATGAATCACAATACAAACGAGTGGGAAGGGACAAAGATGAAGGCAGGAGAGAAGAAAAGGAAAGGGAGCGACGAGGGGAAAGGAGGGGAAGAGGGATGGGAGGAGAGAAGAGAAGAGAGAAGAGACAAAAGAAGAGAACAGGAAAAATGAAAGGAAGGAGGAAGAAGAAAAAACACCACTCTCCCTTTCCCTTTCCTTCTCCATCTCCCACTCCCCCCCCCCCCTCTCCCCTCTTCCCTCAAAGACACACACAATTCCCCAAGCCCCAATTTCCTCCCCTTATCCAGAACGCCGCTCAGAGGAAACCCAGACCAGCGGAATGGGGAAAATGGGAGAGAATGAGGGGAGATAATGGAGAAACCGGAAGGAGAGGAGACAGAGATGGAGAGAAAAAAACAGAGGCAGAGATAGGTGAGAAGATACAGATAGATGGATAGATGAAATGAGATACATATACACAGAGAGGCAATACAGACTGATAGGTATACGTAGACAGAGAGATATGATAAAATTGACTAGTTCCTCTTCCCTGACTTTTTATCTTATATCTTAAGAAACTCAAAAAAGAGCAGGTAAGAGGAAAAAGTCTATTTCATCATCTTCACTCCTACTTAAGTATCAATTTCGCTTCATGCATATGCAAAAATTCTTAAGCAAACGAATCATTTACAGACACGACTGCACTCCTACGTCAGTGCTTAAGCAACATTCCACACGTTAAGCTATTGAAACTTACAAAATCCGTATCTTCACATACTTATAAATACAGAAATCGCCACGCAGAATATTCGGCAAAGGAAACAAAAGATAATCAACAATGATACATATTAAATCCACAATTTTTTTTTTATCCTCCTCCCTCCTTCTATCTCCTACTCCTACTCCCTCTCCCTCCTCCTCCTCCTCCTCCCTCTCCCTCCTTTTATCTCCTCCTCCTCCCTCTCCCTCCTCCTCCTCCTATCTTCCCAAGCGCTTTCCGTAAACGCAAACTCATCTTACTCCGAGGACGACCTACAACCACCGAGCGGCAGGAATGGTGATAATCCCGCATTTCGTGATGGGAATATGATGCTTGATGACGATGGTGACGATGATAGTGACTGATGAATGAATATGAGGATGATGCTACTGGGCGGTGATGGTGATGGTGAGAGTGATAGTGATGATAATATGACTATGATGATGGCTGATATCCGAATGCTGCTGCTGTCGGGTGGTGATGACGGTGATAATGGTGACTGCAATGAATGAAAGATGAATATGATACCAATGGATGATGGTGATAGCATTGGATGGTGAAGGTGATGATGATAGCAATGGATGGTGAAGGTGGTGATGATTGCATTGAATGGTGAAGGTGATGATGATAGCAATGGATGGTGATGCTAACCATCATGATAATGGAAACAAAGAAAAAGCAGAATACCCAACAATGGAAGCATTCAGTAGAAAAA